TCACGACTTCAGGTAGGTTTTCAACACTCTTTTGAGAGATTGGCTATCTCAATTTTAGAAAACCCTAAGGATAAAAAGCTTGCTTGCCCTATGCTGCTGTATACAGAAAGAATGGATACTGTGATCTGTGAATTACACTTTTCCAGATTCTTTTGGCACCTACGGCCTGTAAATTGTCAGGCAGGATCTGAGAACATTCCAAGTATTTCTCCTTCTGTAAGGTTTTGGTGAGGAGTTGAGAGAACAGCTTGAGATTTTGCTGCAGAAGATAACTTTATAGGTGAAAGATGTGCTTGGAATAAATGACTGTTGAAGTGACTGTTATCAGTCAAATTTAGTGGTAGATGTTGCTATAGATAACATTCTTGTGTTACTCTAGAAGCTTAATTAGAAGCAGGGGATCTGCAGAGGATGCAAGCTCCCAGCTTTAAGTGGTGATGTCACATTTGAAAAAATGACTTTTTTTTTTTTTCTCTCTGTTATTTTAGAGGCTATTCCTAGTCTGTTAGGGTGTTATCCAGACTTTCAGCGCAGGAACTGGTTACTGGGTGATGTGTTTCTTCTTGTACATAAAGCTTAGGTGTCCTGGAAGCATTAAGAATTTAGGCAGAAAGATGGAGTGATTCGCTGAGATTTCCAGAATAGGAAGAAGGCTAGCCAGCCTTCAAACAGGGCAAGAAGGAGGATTGGGAAATCAGAGGACAATCAGCCTCACCACCATCCCTGGAATGGTGATGAAGCAGGTCATCCTGGATGCAATCTCTAAGCACTACTGTTAGGACAGGAGGAAATGGTCTCAAGCTGTGCCAGTGGAGATTCAGATTGGATATTGAGAAAAATTTCTACGTGATGAAGCATTGGAACAGGCTGCCCAGGGAAGTGATGGAGGCACTGTCCTTGGCAGTGTTCAAGAAATGTGTAGATGAGGCACTTAAGGCCATGGGGTTGAGGGTCTTACGATTGGACTTGAAAATCTTGAAGGTCTTTTAATGACTAGAACGATTCTGTGAACAGGATTAGTCAATTGGGATTCATAAGGGAAAATCATGCCTAAGCAATTTGATAGCCTTCTACAATGGGATGTTTGACTGGGTAGACGAGAGGATAGCATTGGCTGTTTTCTACCTTGACCTCTGGAAGGCATTCAGCACTGTCTTTCATAATGTTCTCGTCGGCAACCTCAGGAAGTGTGGGATAGACGAACAGACAGTGATACGGGTTGAGAACCGTTGGCAAGGCAGAGCTCAGAGGATTGTGGTCAGTGGCACAATGAGCAGTCTGGTTGAAGGCCAGACTGTGGTGTCCCCCTGGGGTCAGCACTGGGTCCAACCTGTATTGTTCAAGTTGCTCATCAGTGACCTGGATGAAGGGAGTGAGCACACTCTGGGCGATTTTTCTGAGGATACAAAAGCTGTATCTGATACACCTGTGGGCTTGCCATTCGGAGGGACCTAGACAGCTTGGTGAGGTGAAGTTCAACCAAGGGATGTGCAGAGACCTTCACCTGGGAGGAGTAGCTCCTAGGGTCAGTACAGGCTGGGAGCAAACTGCTGGAAAGCAGCTTTATGGAGGAGCTGCTGGTGGCACCTTGCCAGCAGGTGGAAAAAGGGTTTGTCAATATATTTAAGTGTCTGAAGGGAGAGCATCAAGAGGATGAGTCTAGCCTCCTCTCAGTGATGTCCAGTGATAGGATGAAAAACAAAGGCCACAAACTGAAACACAGGAAGGTGTGTCTGAAAATGAGGAAGAACTTGTTGACTATGAGGGTGAGAGAGCCTTAGCACGTGTTGCCCAGAGAGATTGTGATGTCTTCTTCCTTGGTGAAATCCCAAAGCCACCTGGATGCTGTTCAGGGCAGTGTGGTGTGGGTGACGCTGCTTGAGCAAGGGCTTTGGCCTGGATGCTCTCCAGCGGTCCCTTCCAGCCTCAACAGTTCTGTGATTCTGTAATACAGATGTCTAGCCAAGAGTCAAGTCCTTTGGGGTATTGATTGAAATCCAGCGCTCCTGCATATGGCTTTGAAGGGTACCATTAACAGAGGCTTTCTGAGGAATGATTCAGGTCAGCACTGTTGGATAGTTTGTTACGCTTGCGTTGAACTTTGTGTTGAATTTTCCTCTTGCCTTGTCTCTAGTATCCCTGCTCACAAATTAACATTTTTGAAGAAAGCAGACATTTTCTATACCATTGTACAGTATGACATTGCAGTAAACTTCCTGGTCTAGAATAAAATGCTGTCTGCATTTTCTTTTATGTTGTTAAGGAGATCTGGGCAGCTAGTAGTAATTTTAAAGGTCCATACTGTGATATCTTCCATTTTAATCCAGGAGCTCTAGAGCTACTGGGACTCTGAGTAAAGTCTCTAAATCCTTTTGTTTTTCACCTGTCATCATTGTAAGGGAGGGCATCTTCTACTTGTACACGCACACAAAAAACCAGACTTACCATGGGCTCCAGTGTAGGCACTGCCTTGCCATATGTGTGTCTGTTACATGTATTGAAAGATGTCTGCAAGTTGAGGGAAAAACAAAGCTTCAAAACTGTGGCTATAAAGACATTCTGCGTGGACAGTACTTCAGATACTCCTAAAACTTTTGCAGTGCTAAAATGCTTTGTTTTCATGACATGATAATGCAGAACTGTATACTGTTGGAAAGTATGAGATGCTAAATTGGTTCTGAATTTCAGTGCTCTGCTGAGAAACATGATGACAGTGTAAGGCAATTACCTGCTCTTGGCACATGTGGAAGAGCCTAGGAGAAAAGGAGTTCATGCCTGCCATTTTCTGTAGGACCCTGTATTGCCATCTGTAGGGAGCTCATAAAATATGCTAAAATAATGGTTGCATTAAAGTTTTATTAGAATTGTGAAGTTCTGTGCCACAGCTAGATCTACTAAGTGAGCCAGAGGCTTCCATTCACAACACCTCCAAGGAGACCACTTGGAAGGCTACTGAATTAAATAGAGGCAAACGACATCAAGTTTACAAACAAGTATTTGTGGGTGTTTCCAGACTATAAGAGGCCTGTGTATCTTCATGAAAGAAACAGCAGTATGGTAAGATAAGCAAGTGACTAATCAAATCAAGCTTGAGAATCCAGCAACAGGAGGAGTTAGGGCAATCCTAAAAGTGTTTGTTTATTTAGAGAACATAATATGTATGGAAGATAAAAATGTAAGAGTATTACCTGAAAAGTGTAGATAGCTTAGCAGCTTAGTGGGTGAAAACTATTCTTTTCCATGTAATTCAATTGGAGTAGAGTAGAAAACTGAGGGTAGAGCTTATAGGTTAGTCCAAAAATGTTAAGTTAGAGCTGTGTTTCTTTTTCAGTCTTGTGATTGGGCTATGTTTGTGTTCCAGAGATGCATAAAAACATAGCATAATACTGTGAAAGCATTTCTAATATCTCAATACCCTCTACTTCATTAACCAGTTTTTCTTCTATAGTGTCTTGGGTGGGGGTGCTCAACATATGTAAAAGCATGCTACTTTTGTTGGACTTTTCCCTTGAACTTACTGTATTGCTTTTCCTCTTACATTCCGTATATATATACGAGCTCCCAGTGCCTTTCCTATTTCATGGCATTGATAGTTTTTAGTATTTTTTTGGTGTCTTAGAATGTGCAGACAGTTTGTCTTCTACTGCTTTTTGCTGTTCTGCTGGAAATCTCAAAGTTAAGTGTGTTCTCTCTTTTGGTTGTTCGGGCTGTGGAGTCTTAACCTGTTAGTTTTTCAATCCAAAGTGCTGCCTATATCCAATTCTTACAACATTCATTTATTCAGACATTTTAATAAGTATACGGAACTGTGATGTGCTGTTGTCTTAAAAGATAATCTGGGACAAGGAATTGTGGTTATTATGAATGTCATTCTGCATCAAACAAAAGTAAAGTTGACAGAATAGTTGTTAGAATTTTTTAGATTTTTAAATCGACCATTTTGAAACCCTTTTTTCTTTCTAATAGGCAGATAATTTAAAAGATCATTTGTTCCAGTGAAAATCTGTCAAACTTGTTAGTACAGTTAATTTTTTCCTTATCATTAAAATACTATTTTGTGCTTAGTGTAATTGCAGATTGGGGTCTGAGCATATAATTAGGAGTAATAAGACCTAATGAGTTTTGACACCCCCTTTGCTTGTTTCCTGAATTATGAAGGCAGATATATGTCTGTTTCAATAAAATGCTGTATTATTAGGCACATGGTTTACCCACATAGTTCAGCAAATAAAGGTAAACATCTCTTCAAACAGCTGCCTGTGATTTTAATCTAGAAAAATAGCTTTTTTGTTGAAGCTTAATTTTCTGATTTTTAGAACTGTGTATGAAATTAGTTTTTTTGTTTTGTTCAAATTAGTCAATTGTTAAATAAGGTTCCTGTTCTAAAAATTCCTCTAAAACTGTAAATTTCAGACTGCTCTCCATCTGGTTGTTGATGCTTTCTGTGACTGTAGTTTTGCAAATGTTTCTCATATTGTTTAATTCTGAATGTCATGTTCTTAGGAGCAAGACTGAATTACTGTCTGTATCTGAAGCAAAATGGTAGTAAATGTGGTCGCTTTCTGATTCTTGTGGTGTCGGTCAAAGAGAATGATTACAAATTTGTAAGAGACAATGCTTTTACAGGATAGAACAGTGATCCTATGTCTGCCCTGATTCTGTTCTTGAGAGTTAGTGTCTCCAAAAATCACACTTTGTGTGTGGGGGGGTGTTGATTAATGTTGAATATGAAATCATAGTGATTGTTTAAATGGTTCTACTTTTGCTGTGGGCCCTTCTTGGAAATTCTGGATAGCTCTTCTGTGTTCTCAGAAGCACATAGAAATTTTCTTTCATGACTTACATATTTTAATGATTTGTGCTTTATGCCACAGTAATAGTGAGACTGATAGACTTGTATGTCTGTCTTTCTACAGTAAATCTACTTTTTATGTGTTTTGTTGGACTGGTGAATTTACTTTTTCTTTTTCATACTTGTACCAGGTGATGCTTTTCTTCTTAGTGAGCTGGATTAAAAATGCAATCGCGTAGTGTTTTTGCTGAGGATCAAGTTACGTCGAAAGTGGGTTTGAGCGGATGTATTAAAAAAGCATGACAATTTTGCCTAAAAAAAAAGATTGTTTTAAGAGATTTAGCTGGTTGCGGGAAGAGACGGTGAGAAAGAACTAATTATGGAAGGATCATGAATTTGTGATAATAGATCACTCTTTTAGAGTGTTTACTGGTGGCTGAAAAGTTGATCAGGAACATGATCCAACTTTTTTATTTTCAAATATTGTTAGAGCTGTTCAGGCAAATTATTCAGAGAAGTATGTTGAAAATGTTTAGAAAGGATGAGTGAGACTCTAGGGAAATATTATTTAATCTTTTGAATATTACAAATCTTTCAGTATGCTGGATGAGGAAAAAGATGCTAGTAAAGCTAAAGGGACTTCTGCAAATGAGAGGAAGAAAGAGCAAAGTAGTCATGTGGTACAGCTGGAAAATGGCTGGGTTGTCCATCCAGGGAATGTGTCAGCAATTAGCAAAGAAGTACATGTAGTAGATGATCTGAAGCAAAGCTTGATGCAAAGTAAGCATAATACTTTGTTGTTGTTTGACTTTACAATACTACATTTCCCACAGTACTTTCCCTGTGTTGCTTGTTCATCGTAAGCAATAGTAGTTTCTGCAGTAGTTTCTGCAGACGGGTTATCTGCCTGAGCTGTACTTTGTGACAGTGAGTGGGAGTGAAAGCACTTGCCAAGGCAGTCTGTTTATGTCTGTAGTAAGGAAATGCTTGAGAGCGCCCTGGGTAGAACACTGCTACTACTTAAATGATTGCACCTTTGTGTATTATACTTACAAACACATGCTGTTTGTTATTATTTTTTTAACCCTACTAGTGTTCTTAAAATTTACCTTATTTCATTTTGGGTTCAGAGAAACTCAGTTATCTAAGTTTCTAAACCTCTTGTGGCTTTTAGGAAGGATAAATTTCCTTTGTGATGTTGCAGTGCCATTCAAAATGATGATTTTGAAAGTAGTCTGTGAGTTTAGAAATGTGGAAATGTTCTGCTGCTCATCTCTGTAAACCTAGTTGGTTGCTGGGAAGAATCTAACTACAACAATGTGGCTTTTACTGGGCATTGCCAGTACTTTCAAAAGAGAGAACCACTTGTTCTTCTTTCCCTGCCTCTTGCAGTTGCCTTCTGGATTTATTTTCCTTACATGAAAAGTGTGTGCATTTCCAGTTCGTCTTGCGGAAGTTCATACAATTGTGAGATATTCCAGTCACAAGGCTTTGCTGAAAAAGTAGAGCATTTACCTCATGCAAACTTCTGTGTTTTGTTTCTTGCTCTGTGGTTGGCCAGCTAGTGGTATCTGCTGTCCAGGTCGTTATAGCCCAACTCTTCTCTCTGTTGGAGTGGGTGAAAATGTTAGCTTCTTTTGGAAATATTTAAATATAAGAAAGTTGGGAGTGCATCTAGTAGTGTTAAAGGAAATAAAACTGAATGTTTATTTAGGACAGTAGAGCTTTGCAGTAGGCTGTACATAAACAGAATATTTGATTTCAGTAGTAAGAATTTACAGTGAAAGCTGTGATGAATTTTGCCTCTGCCTAGTGTGTTGAATATCAATATCTTTTTCTGTCTAGCAGTGCATTATGGAAAAAGGAGTCAAATCTGTCTATAGAGCTTGTCTCTATAAAGCATTTTAACTTGTTCACACAGTTGAGCCATATTATTCAGCTCTCTGAAGCCTAATTGGACATGTCACTTTTTCTGTTTTTTCTCTCTTTTTTTTTTTTTTTTTTTTTTTTTTTTTTTTTTGCTGTTCTTTTGTGTTTTGTCTTTAAATTAATGCTCTTAGTTGAAAGCTACGAAGATGTTTTCTGAGAAGACTACCTCGAATTCGTGTAGGACTCAACAGAAATATGTCTTATGTTAAAACTTTCCTTAGGATTTTCTCGATTTTCCTTCATGTCTGCTATAGAAATCATATTTGTGTGATGTTTTTTTCCTCTCTCTGCCTCAACCCTGATTCTTGTTCACATGTTTTTTGCCTACACTGAATATTTTTGTTGTCGTCTTTAGTCCTGAAAGAAATTTGGGACCCTCGTCCTGTGCCATTAAATGATAAATTTTGCTATTATTTTTACTAGACACAGGATTTAGCCCTGGTGCTATCAGTATTATTTCTTACCCTGTCACTATTTACAGCATTCCTCAGTTTAAGAATTTTCTGTTAATAGAATTCACATTCTGTTTGCCATTTTCCAGATTAACAGAGATGTTAGATGAGATCATGCCTAGTGCCAGTTCCCTTGCTACCAAATTACAAACTCTCCTCACTCTCATAAATAATAAATTAAACATACAGCAACATATATTTACAATATTTTAGCAGCCTTTTGCGTTGTGATGGGGTTTGAACACCAAATTAAATTACATTAATTGAAAGATAAGTTTTCTGAGGCATAGTGTCAAATACTCAATTAGAAATCCAAATCTGCTTGATCAAAAGTTCTTGTAACCCGTGGCATATATGTAATTCTATTTTAAAAGGTTGTTGGGCATGTCTAGCGAAAGCTTTTACTGTGAATCAGTTCTGCTGTCTTCTAAATGTTCAGGCACATTAATAATTTCATCTGAGAAGATAATTTAGTATTTTTTCTTAAAAATACTGAAGTACATAGTAGTCTAAGTGCGGAAATATCTACATGCTGTGAGACGCGAGAACTTTAAAAAGAAATGTAGCCTAATTTTCTATGTCTGAATTTAAGAAAGAATTAGAGAAGAGTCTGACCATGACACAAAGAATATAAAACAAAATTTTATGTGTTCAGCTAGTGCTTAATATGCCTTTCTTCTTGGTAATGTATCTAGCAGAATATGATTTGTTTTAGTTTTGCAATCTTTGCAGCAACTTGTAAAAATAAAGCAGAAATCAGAAGGCGTATGCAAATGTTCTAGAAGTTTTCAAAAGTAATAGCTGCTCTTGAGTAAAAAATGGATTCCACAGTTCCTTTTTGCTTTATGAAATGAAGCATTCCTGAGATAGAAACAGGGTGGACAGGTTTAAAGATATATTTTTAGAATTGGTCTCCTGAAGCTGCTTTCTCATAGTACCTGGAGAAGTTGCCCAGGACTCCTAAAAAAAAAATATATATATATATATAATCTTCATCTCATCTGTGGTTGTTTTCTGGTTTTGCCACAAAGATATGTATTGCGGTTTATCTCTTTTCTTCTCAAAGTAGACAGCTGCTTTCTGTTCTCTCCTGCATTGGAAAATAGGAAGGTTTTCCTCTGGGTTTGTCAGGAAAGTAGTTGTTTTGGATCATGCACTGAGAAGAGATTCTTCATAAAATGATATCTAGATGTTGGTCCAGACTTCTGAGCAGTCTCTGACTACAAGTGCTTCTGACTTGCGTGCTTGGTGGCCCAGAGGTATTTTGGAAGAAATGAAATATAGATTTGTGCGGAAAACCTTCAGAAAAAAAGTGTTGTTATTCTTGGCTTACAGAGAGAATAATTACCTAATATTCATGAGAACTGATCCACAATTCACAAGCATGTGTGTTCAGTTTAATTCAGATAACAATAAATGACTAGTATTATAAAACTTTACAGAATTACTTTTATTGGGTCCCCTCTTTCCTTGCCTTGGCATTTGAACAATGAACTTGAGAACACAAGTAATTTGTCATGATTTTTTGAACAATTGTTAATATAGTTTTACGGTGATATTTAAGAGTTGCATTCACTGGGCCTACTAGTGGTCTATGTCATGTCATCTATATGTCTTGCAAGAAAAGAACGTCTTGCCAACAGTTTCAGCTAAGGGGTAGTGAAACCACCAGTGTTTCTGGGATCTGTTTAGAAAATATAACACTTAGTGCTTGTGTTTGCATTGATGGTTGTGATTTTTGTTCTTAGACCTGCTGTACCTTTGGTATTATCTATGTCATGCTCTCTACTAGGCAGTGTGATTGTAACATAAAAAGATTGCTACAGCCTCCCTGGAAGAGCATGCTGAAATAAGGGTGTGGGGTTTTTATTTATTTTTAGTTATCTTTATATTTTTATTAAAGTCTTTAAAAATACTTTGTTAGTTTTTTAGTATATTTTTAGAAGAAAAAAACAACCTTGGTTGTTGCCTTTAAATAGTGTGGCCTTCCTCTCAAGGTTGGATCAGCAGGAGTGAGTAAATGTCGAGTGACTTTTTTCAGAATTCAGTGAGATGATGTTTTAAGGAAATGTGTATTATGGTAAATTTCTTTCTCTGGGATGATGCTAGCACTACATTTTTAGTACAGTTTATGCAATCAAATATATTTAATGCCATCTGATATGTTTAATATAGATAATTAAGTATAAAAATCTCCTTTTTGCAGCATGTTTCCCATGTATTATGACCAAGGCTGAAACTTACTGGCTCAGCACTATTGATTTGTTCTGTCTCTTCAGACCAACTCTGAACAAGTGCTACTGAGCTTCATGAAACCTGTTCACAGAAGGTAGATGACAAGATCAGGAGATCTGTTTCAACTCCAGACTTTGGGAAGGAAGGATGTTTAAATTAAAAAAAAAAAAAAAAAAAGGATTTCTCTTCTAGTGTGGGCCTGGTTTCCTCCCCCTTTTTCTCTCCAGTTACAAGTTTGCATCTTCTCTGGCTGCGGTTTCAGTCTTACTTCTTTCAATACTGGTTCTTCTTGCAGATACGCTAGTCAGGTTGCTTCCTCTTTCACGTTGCTGTAGGCTGATTTTGTAGCTTGAATGCTATTTCACACTGAATATCTGTGAGAATGGGGTTTTTTAAATCATCTGTTCAGCACTTGAAGGTGCTCGAGTATTCTCAGTGTGATAGTTTGATGTTTGTTTTGACAGTCTGACTTCAGTAAGCGTATAAGTTAAAACATCTGTACATTGAGAGATGAGGATGCTACAGTAAGAAACAATTGATCCGTGTGCGTGTGTGTGTGTGTATGTATATTTCGTGTTGAAAGATAGGAAATATTTTTTTTTTTCAGTCTCAGACAACTGAGCCACTTGGACAGAATTTCGTACTATAGGACTCGGGTAGGCATGCAGCATTGTACCCTGCCTCCCAGATGGCTGATGTCGAACAGATTTATTTCAAAACAAACAACACTCCTGAAATAGCGTCCAGTAAGGAAAGGATCATGCTCTTTGTAAGACAGAAAGTGAGGTGACTGGCATTTTCACTCTGGAGAACAGATCGTTGACAAGCTGATTTTGTATGTATGTTGGTTGTTAAAAGAATGCTGGTGATTCTTAATCCTGGCATGGTTGAAGGAAGAATTGTACCTTAATATGGACCAGAAAGCTAGTTTTTAAACACTTAATTGCTGACAGAAATTGTACAATAGAGAATACCCACGAACATAGTTTCTCCCATCCCTTGCTAAAACCTTGCAGTTTAATTCTCAGGGTTAGCAAAGGATTAAATACTGTTCTGTATCCACAGCTAGATCTTGCTCTCTTCCTTGAACTTCCTCTCATCTACTTGAAATAGTCCATGTCTTTTATTGTACTGGTAGAGGGGTTCACTTACTGCTCTCTACTTAACAACTGTTGCATTTTCTCATTAAAATGTTACATGTACGTTAGCTGAAGAGAAGATATTGTGGCTTAAGGTTCTGAAAAGAAGGGTGTTTTTATGTGCTCTGGATTTATGCTTGTCTTCAAACAGATCTCTGCCCTTTTCTTTGAAGCTTTAGGTATGTATGAAACTACTTGTTGAGTATTTTGGGGAAATACTGCTTCCTCTCATTGTGTTCCCATTTTGTCTAATAGCGAGTGCAGTTCAGTGTCTCTATCAAAGAATCATAACTGATTTTATTAATGGAACTGTTAGATATTTCCTGAACTCTCCTCTCACTCAAAATGCTACCCTGAAGAGAATGAGGGGCCTAACAGTATGAAGAGAGGGTACTGCTGAAGAGCCCTCAAGAATTTGAACAGATTATTACAGGAAGACTGAAACAAGGCTTTTAGCATGATGCTACCCTCTAGTGGAATAATGATGCATTGCAAAAAAATATGCATTCTTTGTCAGTGAGCAACAAGTTTTAATTAGACACGACACATGATAAACAGTGTATGTGCATACTTGCGTAGAAGTTACCTAAAAGTAGGGGGGAAAAAAAAAGAAAAAAAAACTTCCACTTGTCATGAATTGAAAAATATATATTTTTTCATTTAAATAAAATGGATATTTCTTGTTCTCTGACCATTCCACATGGTTGCTCTGGAGGAAAGAAAAGTTATCATCAAATAGGATTTAATTCAGGGGTAATGGAACTTAATTCAAGGGCTTTTTAGAAGTTGATAGTATTCTGTACAAGGCAGAATTATGCAGAGAGTATCTAAATCCTTGCCACATTTTGTTCAGTGATTTATTTGTTTCTGTTCCCTCCTTCAAAGGGAATCCTTTCTGAGTGTTTTCTTCTCTAAATCTGTGATTTATGTGAATGCATTCAGTTCAATTTAACATTCCTGAATTTACTGCAGGCCTGCTGCATTTGGAGCTTTATAAAATAAATGAAGGGAAATGCTGGGGGTTTGACAGATATGCTGTGCTAACAGGAATATGTTATCTCAAAGACTTTGGGTGTTTGAAGGACTAAGAAAGGAGCTTCTGGATTTTTAGTTAATTGATAGAATGTAAATGCTGAAATAGAAAAAATTGAAAACAAAATCTAAGCTTTCATAAGAAAGCAAAATGTTTACTGTGGTAGCCAAAGTAGGGCGGAGGGGATTCATTGACTAGGTTTTCAGGTTTGCAGATTCCTGTTTGTATAGATGGCAGGGATCTTGGTAACCATGTGACAGACTTCAGTAGTAATAAACTGTAACAGAGCTTAATCTCAAAGAGATTGTTTTTAAAATGAAAGATTAAGTGATGTAACCTAAGAAAATAATTTTCTTCTGGTTTTATTGAGATGTCTTGGGTTTTAAATATGACTAACTCCTAAATAAAGGGATTTTTGTTGCTTTTTAATTCTCATTTACCTGTTTCCTGATGAGGTTTTCCTTTTTGGGTGCCAAGAAGGATATAAAATAAACTTCTTACAGCCCATGTTGTCAGACATATCCTCAGGAGGGGAATAGTTGGGAGTCATGTGAAGCTAACTTTGAGAGATGTAGGAATGTTCTTTTTACAACTTCCTGTTATTCTCTGGATTTTAATTAGCCAACAGCACTGTACTAAGTGTTAATACACTAGTATTAGATTTTCCATTGAATTCAAATAATAGAATTTCTAATAGAGAAGTTATAAGAAGCAAAAGACATCTCCTGCTTAAAACCTTTGTTGTCCAATAAGACTTCTGGTAGAATAATTTCTATATGTATGTATATTTCTATATATAATATATTTAAAACGTAAATACAAGTATTATGTTGTAATTTGTGTTCACAGAGGAATATTTCCAGAGTTAATATTAAAAAGGGCAGGGAAGAGTTTGCTATGGAATTAGATGCAGAGGTTTTAACATGCAGAAAACATGCAAAAAAAATTTTTTTTTAAAGTCAGTCTACATTTTGAATTCTTCAGATGCTAGAAAGAATATGTGACTGGAGAAATTTGGTGGCTGCAGAGAGATATATGCTTACATTAAATCAACCCTTAAAAAATTAACGAAAAGTGGAAAAAACATGACTTCGAGAACTGTGGCTTAATACTTCATCTAGAAAGTTGTTATTGTGCAACACAAACTTTATAGTAAACTAGCCTGCTTATTTCAGTGATGCTCAACTTGCTGATCAACCGTTTAACAAAAAAAAAAAAAGTAGCTGACAAAAAAGACTTGCAGTGCTGCCAATAGCTGATAAGTGTTTTGTGTACGCCATGCATTGTTGGGGAAATTCGGATGCTGCGTGTATAACATTTTCTAGATTGTGGTAGGAAGTAAAGCAATCAGTGGACTAAATTCTCTGGAATGAATTTTTATTGCTTAATGAGCAGATGTTCTCAAAAGTTAGGTAACCGTCTTACAAATTATAGAACATCGCCATAGGCTCAGAGTTAATGGACAAAACTTCAGAGCAGCCCTTCAGAAGGGAAAGACTAACAGCTTCAACGATGTTAACACTGAGTTTGTCAAAATGTAATTCTTTCAGGTTATGACAAGTAAAAGATATGCTGGAAGTAATTTCTTCTGAATATACTATTCTACACACAGTGACACTTACAGACAAAATACTGAGTGTGGCAGCTAAAGAGAAAGGTTCAATATCCATAGCGGTGTATGGTGATTGGTCAGACAATTGAAATGATGAGATAATGCTTTAAAGTATGCTTGTGAGTAAAGTGCAAGGAAAACTGACAGAAAATTGTTTGGTTCACAGATCATCTAAATGTGACAAAGCAATTGTTTGACCAATTAACAGATTTAAATGAGATGGGTTGTTGTTGCATTCTAGTCTAAAAAGCATTAAAGCTTTTACTCAGATGCTGCAGTGAAGTAATACAATACAAAATGCCTTTTTTTTTTTTTTTGGCAAATAATGTTAGTTCTCTGGTAATTACATTAAAAATAGGAGGCTGGAAAGAATAATGTAGCTATTCTGTTAGCTTGACTTCTGTAAGGTTGTCTGTAGCTATCAAACTGTTAAACATGTTTTAGTTAATGATGAAGGAGGATATTGATCAAAATGTTGCCTGTATTATATACACTCCTTTGTTATGTCGAGATGTGTGATTTGATAGTGCAGTTGAAGGACAGATTACAAGATGATATTATTTCCCATTTGCTCATCTAAGTAACCAGCAGAGCTCTGAGACCACATTAAGGAGGAAAAATTAAAATCTTCAGAAGCTTATCTGTCTTTAGAAGTGTTTCTTTGACACCTGTGACATGACTAGTTTGCAATGCAAAGACTGAAATTCGTAAAGAAATAAGGTGGAGGAAACTCCTATAACCTGATTTCAAAAGCACCTTTTTTTTTTTCTTCCTCCATTCATTAAAATGGAAAAAAAAAAACCCCACATATATTCTCAGGCATGGTATTCTTCAGAACCAAAATATTAGAAAACAAGAAAGTAAAGGCAGAAAAGCTAAGGATTCTCGTCAGTGGTTTGTTGCTGCTGTTGAGTTTTTGCAATCAAAACAGCAGTCATACAAACAGATAAATGCTTCCATAGGAAGGCCAGGTCTAAGTAGATTTTATAGCTTAACCAATTTTCATTTTAGATTTTTGAGTTCTTATTTTACTTTCAGAGTTCAAGATTTTTTTTCTTTCAGAGTACTAATGTCTCTTTCAGGAGATGAATACACTTAGATTGTGGGTTATATGTCAGCTGCATATGTCAGAGATGGCTTGCTGGGGAGGGAGTAATAACAAATCTGCCTGTTACACTGTTGTTTTAAAGTGATTTTATTTATTTACAGGTGTCAGCTGCGATGCATGTTTAAAAGGAAATTTTCGAGGTCGCAGATATAAGTGTTTAATTTGCTACGATTACGATCTGTGTGCAACTTGTTATGAAAGTGGTGCAACAACAACAAGGCATACAACGGACCATCCCATGCAGTGCATACTAACGAGAGTAGATTTTGGTAAGTGATAATTTAATTGTGCCAATGGCCATTTGCCACAGTTACAATCATAATATGCATTTCCGTATTTTTTACTAACCACTGAATTTGAACAAGTTCCCATCTTTTAAAGTTACACACATCGTCTTTGATACTATTATACAAAAACTATTTTGCATATTTCTTTTTCTGTTAACATGGTACACAAGAGATTAGTGGAGTATTTAATGCGTTTGTAAATAATGACTATTCTTATTCAACTTCCAGTTCAATAATTTAAGGCAAATGTAGTCACCCCTTCGCTAACACCACCTTCAATATTCTTATCTAAGATGTGTCACAGTGTAAGAAAAACGGTGATGAGTTTGGAGAAATGTTATTCTATGGTGTCTTCCATGGAAATGTTATTGCAGCAGGTATAATGATAGGCTGTGTTGGATGTAAAAGGTTTTTGATGAGGAGTAGCAAGTAGTCCTCTCGGGGCATGTTTGAAGTCCTACTAATTACAAATGACTTCTGAATGCAAAACAACTTTGTATTATTATTTTTTCTATTATTATTCTCATTTACTAAAGAGATAAAATTATTTGGGAAACAGTATATTAATTCAGAGTACTGGTCATGGTTAGAGACATGCATTTCAAAATTATTTGGCCTCCCACAACATTCATGAATTTTGCATATGAGGTAAAATGACAACATTGCCATAAACATTGTCCTCCTCAGGTATAGGAAAAGAGGACATATGCTTGCTGTGGAGACAAAAGCTAAGAGGAAATGCTAAGACTTTGAATGTATTGCAATAAGGAAATTCTCAGTCTTTAGCTCTAAGAATTCCTACTATTTCATACTGCTTCTATTACTGAAAGTTAAGAATTTCTAGAAAACATGTTTTATTTTTTTAAAACTTGCGTATTTTTCTTTTTGGAAGTCTCTTAAATAAATACATGTTTGGGCTAATGTGTTTGTGTATGTTGAAGGAGTATTTTTGCTTATTTAAATCTGCATAAATAAATAGAAGAACATTTTCACTGAAGTACTGGCATAGGCTACTTGCAAGACTCTTGAGTTTTTTAGAAGCGTTTGTGCTACTGCAGATTATTTAAGTAAGAAAAGAAGAAAATGAATTTTTCTGGTGTTTACATATGGCTTTATATCTGAGCGTTGTTCCCTTGGAAACAATGTTGGGGGCGGGTGGAAATAATGCAATTCAACACCCAAAGTTCCGGTCTGGTCAGAACCCTAGGTCAAGAAAAGAATACATGAGACTACAGAGATTACAGCAGAAAGAATGCATTCCCACGTTACGAACCACAGCAAAGGCTGATGACACAGCACCAAAGTATGAGGGGACTTTTTATGCTCCAGGGGATAAACCAGAAAATATTTATAAATATATTATTACTTAGACTTCAGAAAGGGATGTGTTTCATTTGGAAAATGTTTTTATTTTAAATATCTTTTTGGAATGCAAGGCATGTTAGAGTAAGTTTTTTATCATATTGTGCAGATGCTTAGAGAAACTTCAGTAGCTTTTTAAAGGATGCTTTTTAAGCCAGAAAGTTATGTGACTCTGAGGAATATCCAAAAATCCGGGAGGTAAGAAACTTCAAACTAAGGAGAACTAATACAACCTGTTTAGAGGAGTTAGGCTAGCTGCTAGCAAAAGTAGAAATTTCCAAGGAAAGAGATATAAATAGATCAAAAGAAACTATCCTTAAAAAAAAAAAAGTTGGCAAGATAGAACTCGGAGTAGTGAATTCTTCTACTTCCAGCTTAGTGACATCACAAGCTGGAACTTGAGGGGAAAAATGTTTTTTAGATTATAGTAGTTTGAATAGGAGATTCAATAGTAAAGAAAACCAGAAGAAACATCTATGAAAACATCTATAAAAACTTAGCATGGAAGACTATATAGGTATACATGTGAATCCTGGAATATCTGCCCATTGACAAATTTTAATCACAATGTAGTTATATTGATTCAAAGGTATGAAAATTGTTTTAAATAGGAGTAACTTTACAATTGTTACTGATGCTGTGGTAGAAAGTAAATAACCTGGTAAAAGCTGAATGCTGTTTTGTACTAGAGAGAAGAAAGCTGAGTGGGGAATCCTTTCACTGCAAAACTGCTGGTACACACACTTCAGAGGAAGCTGGTGATGATTTTTTGAATGTAAAAGTGAGCGTGGGGATCAGTTAGCCATAGATGCACTTTGCTCAAGATGCATCTGTAATTGATGGCAAAGAACCCAGTGACTCTGGTTCCCTTCACTGCTGTGGCCAGCAGTGTCCCCATGCAGGGGGCTGTGGAACTTACCTGAGTCTTCAGTGCATGAAGCCATGACCAAGTTCTGGTTTGCAGTGAGCAGCTAGCTGCATAGATGTGATTGTCAGGGATTGTTTGCACTTGGAACAGAGCCTGTAATGCTTTACCTGATCATTCTTGAGTGTTCCTAGGCACTATAACAACAGAAATAGGGAGGTGCTCTGAAGGAGCTTTTGTCATTACCTTGATTTTTCTGAAGATTTGAACTCATGGAGGAACTCGCATGATATTATTAAAAATGAATAAAAAGCCCCAGTGATTTCTGCCTGTGCCAGTATTCATAGTCTTACTGTGTGGATGCCCTAATTTTTTATTATTAGAAATCAGTGTATGACCTACCATTTCTGTTGAGGGAAGATGGGATCCAAAACAATGACAGCTATATGTGTTTGTGTGTTTATATAGATGACAGCTCCAGTTCCCACTGAGACACTGTAAAAAAGATTCTTACTGGATGCTTTAAAATGCTGAGTGTGATATGCTGACATAGTAGGGGCAGAGATTTTAAAATAATAAATGATTTTCATGTAATAAATGACCTTAAAGCACAGTTGCAGCTAGCTTATTTCTGGAGGGCCAGAATAGCAATAGGTCTCTGAGGAACAAGCACATGCTTACTGGGCAGTCACTGAAGAACTCTACTTTTTGTAGAACAGCTAGTCAAGATGGAGAAGTTGAGAGCAAACTTCCCAGTTCTGGTTTTCTGGAAAAATAATTTATTGGCAGTGAGCCACTGACTCTGAATTCTAAGCTGGTAAGGTGCTTTATGATAAGTTCAGAGCATGTGGCCTGTTCATTATTCCTGTGATTTAAAGAGATTAGATAGTCAAAGGTAATAGTACAATTTAACAAAATCCACCAGCAAAATCCTATTGTGTTACCTCTACTAAAATATAGAATAAATGTTCCTTCAGTTTTCTGCTTAGGTGCAAATGGGACAGAAGACCCTACCAATTCCTGTGGTTGCCATCATTTAGGTAGCTTGCTGTCTGAGTACTAACCTTGATAATATATGCTATGAAGTTTGGCTGGATTTACTGGAATTGAGCTCAAGGCTTCTTCTGCATTTTCAACTACTAGAATAAGATCTGTGTGTTAATTGCATATTTTTCTAAGCCATGGCATCACAAAGAGTTGATTTTAGTTTGAAAGGGGTCTGTGGAGGTTGTGTGGTCCATTCTTGTGTGGGAAGCGGCTCTGTAAATTGACTGTCCTCATGGGCTAAATCTCAACTGAGAAGCTCTATGTCATCTAGGCAACCTGTTCATGAAGTTCGATAGTTTGCCTGGTGAGGAACTTGCGCCTACTGCCTCTTGCCTGCTTGTGAGGAGAGTGCTTCCTTTCTCCTGTGTTAACTACCTAATCCCAAAAGATTGGGATTAGATCCCTTCACCCACCTCTCCAGAGCCTTCTCTTCTCCACACTGGATAAACATAGTTTCTTCAAACTTTGTTCGTATATCAGGTTCTCCAACTACCTTATCTGTTCCTCACTGCACCCTTCTGAAAGTCTGTCTTGAACTAGGATATCAAAACTGGACCCAGTCCCCTGATATGGCGTAACGAGTGAGGACTGGAGCAGGATAAATGCAGCCCTTGATCTGTTGGCTGTTCTCTTGCAGATTCGACCAAGAACACAGTTTGTTTAACCGGTGCAAGGGCGCATTCCTGGCTCATATCAAGCTTGCTGTCCACCAGGACACCCAGGTCCTTTTCAGCAAAGCTGCTCCCCAGCCAGCTGGTTGCTGCTGTATCACTAATACCAGCTGTATTGGCAGTGCTCAATCTTGGCAGATGGGCAACTAATCCTTTGTAATCCTCATCAGCATCTGTGTTTGTGGTACCTGCAGCTGAGAGTGGCCTTAGCACAAAGAGGGGCTGTATCCTTGCTATGAACGTCCAGTCCTGCAGCACACAGGGTGTGCAAGGTCGGGCTGGTTACAGGAGCAGATCCTGTAACAGAGCAAAGCAAGAAGAAAGCCTGGAACAATATCTGCCATAGCCTCTGTCAGCATGAAAAGTGTCTCTAAGTGCAGCAGTTAGCCCAGTACAGTTTATGGGTCTGTGCTTCAGTCCTCAATTTGAGTACTGATGACAATACACAAATAAAAGCAAAGAATATAATGTTTCTTCCTCTACTGGGAATGGTTGAACTGAGATCTTGCAGAAAGGCTGAAATACTGATGCTCTGTCTAGAGGGAATTAGCAGCTGTTTCCACACTTGGGTGAACTGGTATCTTATTCTAGCAAAAGTGGCTCTCAGCATTGCCCTTTCAGTGAAAGAGGGGAGTTCTGTATAAGGGATGTAAAGATACTCCATGGTGGAAGTAGATTATTCCAGTCAATGAAGCAGGACACAGTATGTGGCTGACAGTATACTGGAATCTAGAAGAATGGCACAGCTGTGTCTCTGCTCGTTTCATAGGATGAGCCATAAGCATAATTCATGTTGGAAGGGATCTTGGGAAGTGTCTAGACCAGTTTCCTGCTCCAAGTGGGGTCAGATGAGCTTATTTAGGGCTGTATCCAGCTGGGCCTGGAAAGCTTCCAAGGTTGGAGATGGCCGCATCTCCCTGGAGAGCTCAGACTCTGTCCTTGCTCACACCACGAAGGGTGCTGCTGTGACCAGGACACACTGACCCTGCTCTGCTCCTGCTGCCAGGTCTGCGGCTTCTCCACGTGGCTGCTGCCAGCCAGCGCCAAGCTCCGCTGCTGGGGCTCCCCTCTGCCAGGGAACGTGGGCTTCATAGGGTCCCGGCGGGCCTGTGCCTTTGCGTGAATTTTGATAAGGGGTTAAGCATTATTTCTTTAAACTCATAGCTGAGTACCTGACAGGGTTTAGAAAGGGTTTTGTTGGTTGGTTGGTGGTTTTTTTTTTTGTTGTTTGTTTGTTTTTTTTTGTTAGAGAATAGGTAGCAAAACAGAAGAAACAATTTTCAGAACAACATCATTTTGAATAACGATGCTTTTTGATCAGTGGTAGAGAAATGTACATTTTGGAACGTGGTGTTTGTCACTGTTTAATTTCTGCCTTTCAACTCAAATGCTGATGTGTGATTTTCTTGTTTGTTTTTGGTACATATACAGCAGCTTGTATAATACCAGCATGTTTTATTTCTATGAGTGTATCTAATTTAAATGAAATTACACTTCATTTAGTAAAGAAAACTAAAATTCCAGGCTTCTCTGGGCTCTTGTAAGGGAATTTGTCTTAACAGTGTACAGGGACAAGCAGACAAGTATATACCTGATTCATGCCCTTAAAAGTTTGGTTTTTTTTCCTAAAGAATCATACCATACTTTCTGCTGTGTTACAAACCGAGTAGGTAAAGAACATGTTATTTAACTATGTAGTTAAATAAATGCAGTGCACGGCTATAGATGGATGATAAAGCCATTGTTGTGTTTTTATTGTTGTGTTTTTGCATTAAATACGTTTTCTTCAAGATAGTTATGTTTTCCAACACCACTAGGCTTGAAATCTGTTTTTATAACCTATTGTTGATTCTTCTTTAAAGATTATTCATATCCTTTTACTATTTCCCTTGTATTTCTTCTATATGACAATGTGAGTAAGGAATAAGTAAGAAAGAGATGTGTTTAGCCTGACTTTTTTTTCTCATTTTCTTTCTGAACAAGCATTTCTTCCTTCCTAGATCACTTAAAAACAAGACTTTAATGACCCAGAGGATTTTGAGGAGTTAGACTTAAAATTTTATGTAGGAAGTCATTTGGAGAAAATCAGAATTCATTATTTGAAAGATAACTTTGTGGCCAGAAGGAATAATTCTGTGGTCATGAGCCAGTCTCATTGGAACAGTAATATAACTGTAAACAGAAACAGTACTACAACTGTAGGAAGCTTCACTTCAGTGGGCTTAGAGGCCTGGCCTGTTTATTTTTTCCTGTACTTGTAGTCACTATGATTTAGCAAATAAGCCTTCGAGAGTGATAATAGAGTGAATACATTACTATCTTGAGAATTCTTTATATTCTTTTAAAAACAACAGGTGGAGAAGTTCAGCAAGCTTTAAAATTAGATAGTTCACTATATTACTTAATTGCCAACTTTTTTTTTATTATTACTTAGGTTTTCATTTTAAATATAGCCTGTCTGATTACAGATTAGCGAAGGTCTGGAGGGGCAGGAGTTTCATTATATAAAAGGTGGGGAGAGATTAAGATTTAGGAGGTGAAAGAGTATGGTATAATTTTCTGAGGGAAAAATATTTGGATTAGCCAGTAAGGTTTCATTTCTGACAGGGGTCCCGCCAGCGAAGGTATACTTACTGACATGCAATTGCAAGTTTGATGCAAGTTACAAGAAGGATGTGAAAGGAGTTTTGAGTAGGAGGAATACGCAGGAAGCTAAAAACTTGGAGTAAAACCTGGAGTGTATATATACCATTATAACTAGGAAATCTGAACTTGGACCAGTACATTATTATTTTTATTAAGAAGTAGCTTTTTGTTTGTTTCAGTTTGCTTGCTGCTTCAAGTCATCATCTTTTTGTTTAATCCAAATCAGTATGTGTGGTACCAAAATACCCGGAATGAGGTTGCTCAACTGGGTACAGTTATCAGTGAGAAATTGGCTTTAAATTGTTGCATGTGGATATCCACATTTGCAAAAACAGAGACTCTTTGTTTTGCAACCAGTGAATAAGTATTGCAGCATCACCACAAGAATCGTACTAAATCTTAAGGGAAATCAGAGGATTAGCTAGTTTATCATTAACTGCTTTTAATCTGAGTTAAACTTTTTGCGTTTTCTTAACCAAACTTCTAAAATCAATAGCTATCTCAGTTATTTTGCTCCTAAATATGGGAGCAAATATATAGATCTTTATACAGGTTTCAACTTTCTTGTTGTTTTAGGATAGTGAAAAAGTGAGAACTGAAGTTTATTGTGTTTCCCTTTTGGAATTACACTGGAGAAAAGATAATGTTTTTAAGCTTTTCCTTTTTGGAATGTGCTGTAAAAACGAGCACGGTGAGCTGCTTTAATTAGAATTTGTGCTCAGATAATGTTAGGGTGGATTCTTTTCATCCATCCTTAGCGAAGTGTTTTGCATTGCATGTTTTTGGTACCTGCTACATTGAATCATTTCAGTTGTATTTTTCTGAAAGAATGTGCTTTCCCCTTCATGCATTGCTGATCCTTTCAGACTGTTTTAGTGACTTAGAACTTGTCTTTTGTGAGCATTGTCCTTGCTTTGTCCATTTGAAGAATTGGCATATTTAAATTACATGTGTGTGAGTTTGCCTCAACATGTTGGAAATGTTTTAGCTCCACTCAGGTTTTTGGTAGTGCGAGAATTGGAAACTGAACCCAATCTTGAGGAAACTTTCTGAAGAGTGCTCCATGAAAAATGCAGGAAAGTGGTGCTAATTAGTAACTCACTCAAATACTTTTAAGTCCTGTGAGTTATGTAGTTCTTCTGTGTGTTATATCTGAGGTGATCTCTACAGTATTCCTTCTCATTGCTAAGCTGCAGTTAACACTTCACACTTGAAATAGATTGATTTTCATACAACTTTTTTATTGCATATCATGTAAATAAAAGGAGCACGGTAAAAAGACTTGTAAACAAGACTGTTTGCCACATTTAAAATGTGTATACTAAAACTTCAGAAGAGCTGGTGGCTAAGCGTGTAGAATAAAACTGATTCATCGTGCAGGCTGCTGCTGCTGCTCTATATCTTGACCAGGGCTGTCTGAATCTGAATGGGGCTGATGGGGCAACCCTGCCTCAGTCCCAGACCTTTTCTGGACACCTGCCCAAGTAACTGCAGCACTGACCTACCTGTAAATTAAAATAAAAATAAAAATAAGGGTAAGTACTACAGATAGCTTTAAATAATATCATTCTAGTTATAATTTTGTCTTTTGAGAATGCAGTGTACGCACTCAGACTTTCTGATACTTAGTTTCTAAACCTAGTGAGCCACATGTAAGTTGTATGTTTTATTCCTGACTCATTATTTTGTTTTCTGCAGTTGAGTATAATTATATTTAAGTGGTGGTCAGTGACCTTTACACAGGTGTGGGAAAGTAGATCTTCAGAAGACTTATTGCTACCTAAGTAGTAATTACGTTCACATACATTCATACAGACAAGTTTCTGTGGATAAAATTTTAACTGATAAAAAACAACCTCTTGTAAAACATTTTCTGTTCTAGATTTGTACTATGGTGGAGAAGCTTTTTCTGTAGAGCAGCCACAGTCTTTCACTTGTCCTTATTGTGGAAAAATGGGTTATACAGAAACATCTCTTCAAGAACACGTTACTTCTGAACATGCAGAAACATCAACAGAAGTGGTAAGAAGCTTTAGAATTGGTATTCATGTGTGATGGAAGAATACGTAAAATAATCTCTCTTCTAGAAAGTCAGTATCTCCCATTGTTTTTCTCTTCTTCTTTAAAGCATATGTTCATTTAAATGCTTTGTAGAAAGTGTGTGTGTGTGTGTGTATGTATATAACTATATTTGAAAGTGACAGCAGAATTTTTCTTCCTCCTAAAGGTATCCTGGTATAATGGAATTGATTTTTTTTTTTTTTTTTTTTTTTTGCTGGCAAGCTTGGTTATCCTGATACTAAGACTGCCATGTTTAGGAGCTTGTTTTCTCTAGGACTTATTTGCATCTCATCATTATTCCGTTGCATATTTTTTATTCTTTTTTTCACAATCAATTGCATAATTGCCAAATGATTTCACCATATCTTCTAAGACTATGGCTGTGCTGGTTTTCTATAATTCCCAGAAAGCTTCTGGAAACAGGCAGGTATTCTGTCGGTTGGAACCTAATTAACCTAGAACTTTGCAATCCAAATTAGGATGGTAAAAAATATGATTTGTTACTACAACAACAACAAAAGGTAACTTCCAGGAGGAACTTCTCGATGCTCTTTTCCTCTGAATTGTGCCACATATTCGTACACGTTACACTAACAGAGGTAATGTTAGCTGGAGCATCACACCTGATCAATGATGCTGCAGTCTTTGTAATGACCGATAGGCATTTTGTCTGTACAAATGCTTAACTAAGCTCTTTTTGCTTATAACAATGCTCTACCAACCTTTTCTAAAGAAAAACACTTGAATTCTGTGTATGCTGGAGAATTAGGTTTAGGACCGTCATTATCCCCTTATGTTCCTTTTAATCTTTTCTTATATGATGTTTTCCTGAGGACAGCTTCTACTCTTTTCAGGAGAAATGCAGCCTGTTCAGGATTCTAGTGTTGTGTTAAATTGGGTAGAACCTCCTTCTATTTAGTTACTTTATAAAAAATTTTCTTTCCATGATGTGGTCCCGCATTCTTGCTGAAAGAAGGAGGGCATTCTTGCTTGAAAATTAAGCTGTTTATAAGTAAGATTATGGACTTTATAATATTCATCTATCATTTATACATATATTTCTGCCTCCCTACTGAGTAGCTGTGTGAAATATTGGCATAATTGAATATTTATTACTTTTGGATTGCTGGACAAGGTGGTTGTTACTGTCATGTTGGGAAGAAGAGAGAACAGTTCCTTCTTCCCCCATGTAATTACCGTGCAGTGGTTTTGAGGTGAGACCTTTTCTAGAGGTAATTTGCTTGATGGATTGCCCAAAATGTGCATTTAAAATCATGAAATTCTCATAGCAGAAAAATGCATTTTGAAATCATGGATTAAAATTCCTGTTTTCCATGTTGAATTGCATCCTTGTTCTTGATTTTGCTGTATAAAATTTTGTGGTTTTGGCAGGTAAATGTGTCATGGGACTTAGAAAAGGTAGTCTGCAAAGGTAAAAATACTGTCCCTAGTCTTGCTAATATACCAAGGGTTTTTTCAGAAGTTATTTTTTGGGGGGTTGAGGCAAAAGGGTCATAGGCCATTTGTGCTCATTAAATTCTGACGTACGTTAAAGGCTCTAGTTCTGTTTGAGAGTCTCTTCTCTGGCATCTGAAATTGACAGCGCCAGTCAACCCACAGCATTACTGCTCACTATATCCTTCCTCGTGCTGTAGTAAAATATCCTTGCTCTACAGTGAGGGTTCCTGAGATAAACTTGAGTGTGTGCAGGAGGAACTTGGGCAGCCTGAGCTTTGTGTTGCAGCCAGGGCTTCCCTTCCAAGACAAGACCTTGGACTGTAAAGAAGAGACAAATGTACAGGTTGTAATTGTATTTATTGTCCATGTGCTGTTAATATTGATCTGTGGTCTTTAAACCTTCATAGTCATCCTGCCAAAGTTTAAGAAGTGCCTTCCCTCAAGATGCTATGAGAGCTGTACTTGCACTGGAGCACGTTCACTCTTTTTAACATGGAGTTGTGGGTATATCTGTAGATACCTGTAGTATAATTTTTAAAGCATAAGAATCTGTGTCTAGTGCTTGGCTCAGTGCGGGGGGTGTGTGTGTTTTGTGTGAAATTGATAAAGCTGGTTTTTATCTTTCTCGTTTCAGATTTGTCCAATATGTGCAGCATTACCTGGAGGGGATCCCAATCATGTCACAGATGACTTTGCAGCTCATCTTACACTGGAACACAGAGCTCCTAGAGATTTAATATCCTTTCCCGAGTTAAGCAAAAGCAGCCAGCTGATCAATCTAATAGGCATAACTATTTGTTTTGCTTTCATACTTAAATGTTTGTGTCTCTCACTTTCCTGGGACTTAGTTGCTGGAGATCTATATATTACTAGCAAACTACAAATTGCAACTACAGTTTGTTTCAACTAGCAAATTAATTTTCAATTTAAGAAAAAATGCACTGTGAATAGACTGTAGGTATGCTTGACAGTGTTGTTTTCTCTGACAGGAAAAAGAAAGCATAAACTTTAACATTGATCCTTTTGCTACCTGTTCTACAGTTTATTCTTTTATTCTTCCCTGGTCGTTAGTTTTGATGTTATTTTGTGTCTGAAAGCAGCATGCCAGATTCAGTAGTCTGTCGCAGGTGTTTATGTGACCAAAAGTGGATGATCTGAGGGTAATTAGTTTTGAGAAATAATTTTAAATTTCTTGTTTAAAACCTAACTATGCTTAATCTAACAAAAATTACATTGCTAACAGCAGGGTAGGCCCATATTGAAGGTCGAACTTCAGGTCTCAAACATTTGTCTTAAAACTTAGGTGGAGCTGACTCTCTAAGCCAGGACGATCACTTTTTTGTCAGGAATGGCTGCGCATATTTGTTGTTATCAATGCTGTGCATCCATTGCAAGGCACGTGCTTTTTGTTAGAGTCTGTGGACAGCCCATTAGGGGCTAGTTCCTTCCTTCTTTATGAAAACATTTTCAGTATGTTTAAGGGTAGATCTACTCAGTCTATATATGTGTAACAAGTTTTGGCCTACAAAGGCCATCCATCAGTTTCTTCACTTCAGCAGAGCAGGTAAGGCACTTTCTTTGTTTTTTTTTTTTTTTTTTTTTTTTTTGTGATGGTGGAAATAAAATCCCTCTATCTTAGTAATAAACTCGGCTCAACGAGCATTGTCAGAGCTTCCTAATTGACCTTCCTAGAAAATAGGAAGTCCATCTTGGCATTTCTCAGTAAAGAGCTGGACAAAACGGAGAGGTTTGGCGTGCCCTTCCACAGGGGCCAACCCTGTGGCCGCAGTGCACTCTAGCTTCGCTTCAAAGCCGCTTCCCTGCATGGAGGAACCGGGTGCCACCGGAGCGCTCCACGTGGCAGTCGCTCTCGCCGTTTATTGCCCAGCACCAGGCAGTTGTGTTTCCTTGACTGTGTGACCACGATGAATCCAGTGGCGTCCGGCATGTACGTAGAATGTTCCACCCAGGCCGGGGCTTGGGAGGCCCCCGCGCACGTAGATCAAACATGCACTTTACTAGCAGTTCCACTGGCGGGCTTTCATCTTCCCAGAGCTCGTATTCTCCAAGCAATAGAGAAGCCATGGACCCTATAGCTGGTAAGAGCTGTGACCACGCAGACATCTAGACTTTTAGATGTGAAATTCAAGGTAACGGTGGCCCTGCTTTCCTGCGTCCTTCAGCTGCCTTGGCAAGGTGCTCCACAGTGCGAGTGTGTTTAATGGGTGGTGGCTGATGAGCAGTTGGCTTCCCTGGGTTGTGCCTTGACCTGCTAGGCCAAAAGTCAAAAGTCACTGCCCCATTAGCTTGTGCTTTCTGTCCTAGCCTTGTTCTTAAGGCTAGTCTGTCCACAGAGCGTGTGTTTTTTACACATAATAGTTTCTCACTTCTGTGACAGTGGTATGACTCAATTTGCTGTGTGTATGAAGGTGTCTGTAGAAGAAGTGATGAATTTCAGTTTATCTTAGCACAGATTCACAAAGCATGAGCTCTTTAGAATCCATGAAGATGAAATTAGCTGACTTTGGTTACTATCGGCCAGACAAAACATGTTCTGTTTACATTCGCAAGGCAGTTTTAATGCCAGGCTTGGCTCATTTCGGAGGTTTTTCAGATTTGCTTTTAAATACGTTTGTGGCATTTTGTGGTCAAGTTAGGAGAACTTTGCAGAGAATAAGGGAATCTCCTTTTCACCATCAGTTGATCAGAGATGTGCCTTCAAGTATGTGCCAAGTATAGCGTGTTTAGTATTTGTTTATCTTTGCTATGAAAATAGCTTTTTACAGAAAAAAAAATGAGAAAGACGATTCTTAAGGCAGAAGTTCTCTTAATGGAAAATACTAACATTTTTATTGTATTGCCTTTCACCATGCCAATGTAAACACCAGGGAAACTTCCGGACTTCCTGTTGTCCCCTGCTTTTGCTTCAGATGCCAAGAGGACACAAATGCTCAAACTGGGACTTTGTGCAACAACAAGGCTATGACTTATTAAGAGGCAGGCAGCCAGCTTAGTCTTGTCCCCAAAAGGAGCTGTGACTCTGCTACCTTCCTTAGTCGTGGTACCTTTGCCTTTTTTTTTTTCCTCTCTTTTTGCTGGCTCTGGTGCTCTGTTGGACCTCCATGACCTGATTTACCTCATTAAATTAACTGTGGAAACTACCACAACAGGAGGAGAAAATAAATGAGTTAAAGGAGGTCACAGTAGGGCCTGAAAAGCAGTGGGGTTTGTTCAAGGAGGAGGCGTGTTTGCATAGCCCCAAGTGCTGGGCCTCTCTCTGTCAGCCCAGCTAAATGCAGTGACTGCCCTGGGATGTTTTCTCCCTTCCCATTTAGGGGCATTAAATGTGTGATAAAATGTCATTCTTTTGAGCCTTTCCTAATGTGGTGCAGGTTGCATTTAGCCTTCCGTTCATTTTGGGCGTCTATCACACCAAGCCACTGTCTCAAGGGCACAGCTGCTTCCAGGATATAGTTCAGCTATGGTTACATTTCAGCGAGGGGAAAAAATACAGCTACATCTCGCCTGGCAGTTTTATATGTCTTTTCTTTAACTGGAGTGATAAGTCATGAGACTGTCTGAGGCTGCAAGTTTTATTTGAAATAAGAAATATTTGCAGGGTCTGTTTCACTTTCACATTTTTTTCTCCCTGTGGTGTTTACTAGTAATTAAAATGAGGAGAGAGAGGAGGGGAAAAAAAAAAAAGAGGAAGAATATTTAATCTTGATGTGATGATGTCTGCTGACAAAAAGCGACCATCTAAAAGTCCCTAACACAAATTGCTACACTTTATTCCTGCAATGAATGCCTTATTTTAAAGGATTATACTGTGTTGTAGTATTCTGTCTATTTCAGTGCAATAGAGAGGGTAGGAACAACATCACAACATTCCTTGGTCCTTCTTGGATCAAGGAAATTCTTACACATAACTTCAGGCTGCAGAAGAGATCCTGCAGTTAATTACCAAACAGCACCCTACTGGTAGTACTCATTTTGAAGAATTTGAGGACAAAACTTGCCATAAACATCTCAGAGGTGGAGGACTTAATGCCAGGCCTTTCTAATGGCTGGGCCTTTTCTGTGTTTCTAGCAGAAACAGAAATTCACATAGAAAAAATGCTTGTAACAGCAATGTTGATGTCTGGTGATACTTCAGAATGTTTTCTTGATTGGAGGGCAAGAGCATTCAGTTGAGATAACTCAAGTCACTGAATTAAAAGGAAAGAAAGCCAACCTTGATAAAGTGAACATTCTTCTCTGCCACACAGCTTCCCTCCAGAATATTGGGAAAGTAAAGCCTGTGTATTTGTTGAGAGGCAAACAAAATCCCTGACCAAAGCCAAAGTGGTCTGTTTTTTAGACAGTTGCTGTTTTGACTTGAAGTAACGTTTTAAGGAATTGCTGCAGAGGACATTCCTCATAGATTGGATCTCTCTCTATTTAAAAGTCTTCAAAATTCATTTTCTCCTTTGGAGTAGATCTGTGCATGAATGAGCCTTAGTCTTCCTTATCCTTAGCAGAATGCTTGGTCTTTCCTCCAAGAGCTTCACGGACTGTCCAGCATTTTTAGTTCCCTGGTTTCACTGTCGGAAAGCAGTGACCAGCACGCTGGCGTGCAGCGTGTGATCCTTGCCGCTGTTTCACCGCAGCCCATGTTGTCTTCCCCGGCAGAGCTTCTCTCCCAGCTCTCGGGCGTGCGGCGCTCCGCGCCACCACCATCACGCAGTCCACGGCCACCACCAACACGTCCAGCGCCGACAGCAGCCAGCAGGCCATCCAGAACTCGCAGTTCCTGCTCGCAAGGTAACTCGCGCCGCGCGCTTGTGTCTCCCCTCGCTCGCGGTGTTTTCCTCGGCGCTAGGGCCTGGCCAAGCTGCTGTGTTTGCCGTAGTAAACCCGAGCGGGGTCATGAGTCGTGATTAATATCCCAGCGTTAATAGGCTAGTAAACCATCCCAGCCTGCTGATGTTAGCATCAGTGGTGGCCCCAGAATGAGAAACTCGTAAAATGAAATCTAAAGGAAGACTGCTTCACTCCGTGAATTAATGTGGCACCACTAAAAGCAGTAGGAGTAACCCACAAAATCATTCTTAAACCTGTTTATTCAGTCAAATGTGCTTAGGGAGAGAGTGGCAGCCTGCTTTATTACTATATTCAAAATATCAAGAGTAAATGTCACACATCGTGTGGGTTGTGCTCATAGGAAATGTGATGTTTGGGAGCTTTCCAGTTGTTTTTACATATACTTAGATTTTTTTTGTAAAATCATAAAGTGTTCACCAGTTTTCTTGCACTGTCGGGGGAAATGCAAGAATTTAATATCCAAGAGCAGTAGTTTGTAGCTGGCTGGGAGGGAATTCTTCTGGTTTCAGGAGGCCAACTAAAAAGTTTGCTGCAGGAATATACAGTGATCTTCTAGTGCGTGCAGGATGAGAGGCAATTGCACAAGCAAACTATATATGCCTAGGAATGCATTTGAAGGCTTAGACCTGCATGAGAAGTAGTTGCTTTCCGCAGACACAGGAAAAGGAAGACCCTGAAAGGGAATCTAGTCTTACAATTTGAGTTTTGGCTAAATAAACTGCATTTAAATCCAAACAAGGGCCTTGTGCCAAAATCCCCACTCAAATCTCAAGTTAACATATACTGCGCCCTTGTTTGCATTTGTAGCATCTCCTTTTCAGCCCCACTGTGTGTCTGCTCCTAGGCAACGGGTAAATATTATTGGCTGTGTCTCTATTCCAAAAGGAACAAAAGGAGTGTTACTTTGCTCAACTGCACTCATTTCCCCTTCTCCTTCCAACAAAACAAGCATGTTTACAGTAACGTACACATATAAATTTAAGCCCTAATGTGGAACGAGAGCTCCAAAGGTGGTATGTTTAGTAGGAAATGAATCTTCAGTAAAAGCTGAAGGTTGAATAGGCATTTATGTATTAAATGTTTTAGAGAACAAATAACAAAGAGAACGGATGTTTTAGAAATGTTTTAGAGAACCAATAAAGGAGGCCGTTATTAAGCAGAACACACGGCCGCTGTAGAAACAGTAATTGGGTCCCAGGGTTGTTTCACAGAGAGGAGTCACCACTCAGTCACTCCGGTTCTTTCATCAGGTTCAGGGAATTGACCTTCTGAAATCAAAAGGTTTCCCTCCGCCCAGCCCCAAAACATGCCATCGTATTTCTGGATCTGGGAAAGCGCAGAGCTGTTTTGGCCATTCTTATGCCCAAAAGGCTGGATTTGGTTCAGCCTTTCACGTCGTAACCAAAACGTCAGACAGTATGAGGTGGAGCAGAAGCTGCTCTCGGGGCGGGAC